GGAGTCAAGGACCTGGCCAGGAGGAGGAGCACAGAACCCCCTGCTGGTCAGTGGGAGGCCCTCATCAGCTTCCGCCTCGGGTGGGTGGGGGGGGGGGACAGGGGTTCAGACAGAGGGAGGCTCCCTGCAAGTGGGGAAGTGCAGGCCCCCCATTGTGCAAGGTAGCCGGAGCGGCACCGGAGCTCTCCTTGGGGCCCAGCACACCTGAGCCCTTCCAGGTGTGTGGGGGGGGGGCTGCAAGACCTCCATCAGAACCTCCCCTCCCCCTCCTCAAAATCAGCTCCAGAGCTCAAAGTGGGGCCGGCATCAGGGGGTCCCCTTCACACCTGTGGCTGGTGGGGTTCTGCAGCAGCAAGGCCGCTTCCAGAGAGTAGCAGAAGAGAGCCCAGAAGTGGGAGGAGAACCCAAACTGCACCCAAACCTGGAGGGAGAGAAGTGAACGTCAGCGGGGAGGAAGAGGGGATCAGTGCAGGGGGGCTGGCAGGAGGGGGCAATGCAGGAAATGAGGGCCCCAAATTGCCCTCCGGCCTTTAAATGTTTGTGGGGGGGGGGTGTCAGTGTTGGAGGGAGGCCCCACAGGAGCAGAAGGCCCCTAGGAAGAGAGCAAGGGGGGGGGTCTCCCCCTTTTGGCTCTCCTTTTACATGAGTGGATTCCAGCATCCCAACAGGCCTTTCAGGTGCTGAAGGGGGGGGAGCAAGGGGGGCACCAGGCACTCTTAACGGAGGCTGGAGCACCAGCCGGGCTGCTCTTCTCTGTCCCACTTACCACGATCAGGCGGCAGAGGGAAGGCAGGGACCCCAAAGGAGCAGCCAGCCAGAGCACAGAGCGGGCCAGGATCCCTGCAAGAGGAGGGAGAGCTGGTTAGGATCCTGGCCAGGCTGGGATTGGTGTGGGGGGGGGGGGGGGAGGAAATGGGGAGTAGGGCATTATGCCCCCCACCCTGCAGAAGCCAAGTTTGGCCTCAGTATTGGGGTGATGTTTTTAAAAAAGTTAGCCAAGCTAGGACAGAAATATAAAACTGATTTCATTTAGATGTAATTACAATTAAACAAACATAGTTAATTATGTAATTTGCAGATGAACAGCAATTGGGGAAGGTGGGGGGGACTGCTCTTTCTCTAGCTTGCCAGGGAGGGGCTCTGGGCATCTGCCACCCCCCACCCTGCAAGCGGCCCCCAGCCCAGAATTCGGGGCCAGGAGAGCCGGGAAGGCGCCCGGAGCCGTCCCTGCCCCTTCGGCTCCTGCCCCCTGCCTGGCCGCCCCGGCTGCTCCCTTCTCTTACCCGCCGTGCCCAGGAAGCTGCCCAGGAGCGCGGCTGCCCGCAGCGCCCTGCCCGGAGCCCAGCCGCGCCCGGCGGAGACCCGGCAAGAGCCGCTGCAGCGATGGCGCGGGCGGCTGCGGAGCGCGGTCAGCAGCGCGCCGGCCAGCAGTCCCAGCGCGGCGCTGCCGAGGGCCAGTCCGGGCCAGGGTGGCAGCTGCCGGGAGAGGCGCCACAGCCCCGCCGCCGCCGCCGGAGAGCCGAGCTCGCAGCACAAGGCCAGCGCTCGCGGGGAGGCCATGGGGGCGGTGCCCGGGGGGGGTCGCTGCGGCCCTGGAGCGCCCGGCGGCCTCTTTTCAAGGGACCTCCGCCCACCTGCCTCGCCTCTCGTGGCTGGGAACGATGGGAGTTGTAGTCGCCTGGTTGCGGGGGGGGCTGATTTAAGGCGATGAGCCCCGCCGGGTGGGCGTGGCTCGGCAGGATCCGGCTGGGGGATTGGAGGCGCGCGCTCTGCTCCCAGGGCGGCTCGTGATTGCCGGGATAATGAAATTGATTGCATTAATTGGGTATCTAAACGCCTCTAATCGATGCATTTAAAACGGCCAAGAAATGGGTTTGGGTGCCCTGAGCCTCCGGGGAAGCGGCTCCAGAGGGACGCCGGGAGAAGCCCAACTGGGACCAGCCGCCTGGGCTCCCCTGGGCCGAGGGGCTCCTGGGCCGGCCTCGTCGCGTGCCTTGTGCCTGATGCTACCTGGCTGCGTTGGAGAAGGCCGGAGAGGCAGGCGGGGGGGGGGTCAATCCTGCCTCAGCTTCTTCTTCCCTAGGCAGACAGAGGAGCCCCCTCCTTCAATTGGAGAGCAGCTTCTCCAGCTCCCCAACCCTGATGGTGAAAGCCAGAAGGGGAGGGGGCACTCTGCTCCTCCCCCAAAGGCTTCGAAAAGGGAAATGTTGGAACTGAGCCATTCATCCCCCTTTTTGATCGGGAAGTAAAAAAAGAGGCACTGCAGCTTTAAGCTCTTCCAAGGGGAAAATAAGGCCAGCTTCCCCCACACTCCTTGAAATCCTTCCACCCCAGCACCTTAGTCAACTCCCAGGAGCTGCGGGGGGGGGGGGGGGGGGGGGCTTTGGTTCAGACATCCCTTCAATGTGGTTCTGGGGGGCAGGGCAAGAGATGCTGGGGGGGGGGGGGGTGGCTGCCAGAACCGAAGGCAGAAGCTGATGGGCACCAAAGGTCCCCCATGCCAAACTGGCCACTTGATGGCTTGGGGCATTCAACCCTCTCCTGTGGGCCAAATTCTCTGTCTCCCTCCGGCCTTCGTCCGGGTCACGGCTGGGGCGCCCAGCTGCCCTTATCCAAGGGCAAAGGGCAAAGGGCAAAGGGCAAAGCCCCCCTTTGGCAAGAGCAGCTGAGGCCGGCCATAATGTGGCCCTTGAATCGGGACCTCCCTGCTCCGTTCCTGCACAGCCTTCCAGATGCTGAGTGAGAATAAATAGCCCCCCCCCAACACCCCCCCCCCCCCCGCCCAATTTGAGATAATGAAAGTTTGTAAGGTAACCGATTTTGGGGACCTGATCCTGCAAACAGTCCCTGCATGTGCGCACGCACGCACGCACACGTGCACAATCCCTGCAGAAGGGCACTCGGGGAGGAGGGTGATCGAACCAGCATTCTACAAACCCTGGTTGCCATGGAGAAGAATCCCGGATGGCTGCCTGCTCTCCGTCCATGGTGGGGTTGGAGGCTTGTGTCTTCTGCTGGAAGCAGCTTTTCCCCCTCCCCCCCCCCACCCCCAATTTGTCTGCAGGCTGCTGGGGCATGAAGGCTACTCTGGGAGGCAGAAGCCATGGCTGAGGGCGGGTGGGGGTGTCATGGGGGGGAGCCTTATTGGTCAGCTACTGCTGGACTACAGCATCCAGCCTCCTTCACTATCCGTATTGTAACATCTGTCCAGCTGCCGGAAGAAACACCAGGAGCACAGCGATCATTTTACCTGCTAAATGAAATGGCTAGGACAGCAAGAGGGGGCTGGGGGGGGGGGGCTGGGGCCTTTATTCCAAGTGGTTTTTATGCTGCTTTTGCTGAGAAAGACCCCAGGCAGCAGCCGGTTTAGCCTGGCCCACTGTGTTCACCGGGTGGGGTGGGGGCTGGTAAGGGGGGCATGGAAGGCAGAGGCAGCTAGGTCAGAAATCCTCCTCAGCCAGGGGCTGCTTGGGGAGGGGCTCTGAGGGACGGAAGCAGCGCAGATGGGGCGGGCGGGGGGCAGCGGAAATGAGCCTGGCAGAGGCCCCCACAGGTGTTCCCTTTGGCCTCCCAGGGACTGAGGGGGCTTCCTCCTGGGACGCAGCAGGTGCCTCTCGCGAAGTCTGCGTTGGGACAGGTGGGCCACGGAGGGGCCCAGCTGGCATTTGAAAGGGCTCCTTGGGAGTCCAGTGAGGAGCCTCTTCTGGGCTGGTGAGGCAGGATCGGTCGGGGCGGGAGAGCTGTAGAAGGCTCTGGAACCAGCCCTGCCGCCTCCGCCCCCCTTTTGGAGAAACCCATCCCCCCCATCCTGATGCAGAAGTGGGGTCCCAGCTAGCCCCACCTCCCCAGCCCACGACAGGTGCCTTGGTCCGGCTGCAAAAGGCTTCGGCTCATGGCTCCCGGTCGCCATGGAAACACCGCCAGAACTGGCATCAAGCCATGAAGAGGAGGGGGCACGCGAGATCACAGGGAGAGGGTGATGGGAGCACCCCCCCCCCAGGATGCTTGGCAAAACACACCAGTGATGGTCCTTGGCACCGGCTCCTGGGGGCCCTGCTGGCTCCATCCTGCGCCACTTTGCCAATGAAGAGAGGGCAAGCTGTGGCTTCAGCTTGCCCTCAGAGGTAATGGCTGCAGTAGTGGGGCCTTGGGACCCTAAAGGCAGGGAGGGATTCCACATCTGCTGCTGCTCCAAAGCACAAAGGCTTGCTGGGGGAGGGCTGGAAATGGTGGGAGGGGTGGTACTTGAGCCCCCCCTCAGGGGCTGCCTGTCAATCTGGCCTGTCAGACCAAACTTAGTGAAGGGCAGCTGGCCAGGGGCCCCTTGGGGAAAGAGAACCAGAGGCTTCCCAGAGGCTGCCAGACCCCAGGTGGGAGCGACGCCCCCCTCCTCCCTCCCCACCCCCCCAATGTGACTCCAGCCCAAGAAGAGACAGCACAGCCAGGAGCTAAAAACATCCCTTCCACTTTATTGGGAGTTGGTTCTCCTTCCTCGGCTCCGAAATACATCCCCCCACCTCCCCCAGGGAGAAGCAGGCTGGTGATGGGTGGAGGAGACCCAGGCAGAAGTTTTGAACCTCCAGGAAAGCTGGATCAAATCCCACCGGCCCCCTGCCTGAGAGCCCCCCCTCCAACGTGTCCCCCTCCCGCCACCTCGGAATCCTCACCTTGCCAGCTGACGGTGCTGCTGGCCACTGGGTGGGCCCTCCTGCCCGCCGGACTCCGACAAGGCAGGGCTTGCTGTCTGCTGTCTTCCCCACCAGGCCATGCCCTCTTTCCCCCCAACCCCAGGCCCGACACCCACCCGTGGCAAGTCCTCAAGCTGCCCCTGTCAACCAGCAGCCCGTCCTGGACCTGGCAGCCAGCCACAGGGGGCAAGTCCCTTTCTGCCCCATTGCGTCCAACCCGCTGCCCCTACATGTGCCACCCTCCTCCCCCCCCCCCCCCCCCCCCCCCCCCCGCGGGGGGGAAGCCCGGAGGGGGAGGGCAGAACTGGGGGGCAAGAAAGGCGGGGGAGAAGCCTGAAGCGGAGGCACCCGACGTGGCAGAGGGCAGGGGGAGGAGCATGGATGGGCCACTGGACACTATGGCTAGGAAGGGCATATCAAAAATACAAAATGGCCTCGTGGTCTACTCTGTGCCACTGCCCACCCCAGGGAAGCCTGCTGGTTTCATAGTTTGGCACAGATGCAGCTAGAGGAGGAGGGGGGGGTGGCTGTGCTCGCCTGGGTGACGTGTGGGTCTAATTGGCTGTATCAAGAACACTTAGTTTAAAATCTTTACAAAGGACAAAACACGGTGTCTCCGTTAGTGTTTAAAGAACTAAAGATCTGCTTAAAAAACGTCTTTCGGAAAGAAACAGACAGACAGACGGTATCTCCGCAACATGAAAAGTGTGATATGGAGCCAGGGTACCAGGCGGTACCTGCTAGGCCCAGCATCAAGGCCAGGGGATCCAGGACCCACTACGGGGCTTAGAAACACCCCCACCCCCAAATGGCACCTGTCCAAGAGCCCCAGGAAGTGCCAGCCATCTCCAGCCACAAGGTGGCAGCTAAGCTTGTGGGAGCCGTTCTCCATGGCTCTAGGTTGGTAGAGAGAGACTGGCACAGCTCTGTTCCAAGAGTGCCCACTAGGAGGTGCCCAGGCGGAGCCCCCCACGGTTGTTCCAGGAGGCAAGGGGCTGTCCTGGGCTTCCTCGGCAGTGCCAGCTGGACCTGGGAGCACAAAGGGTTTACTCAGCTCAGGGCAGCCCCGGGGTGGGGGTGGGGGGGGGCTCGCCTTCTCTGCCGGACTCCATGAAGCCTCAGCTGCTCTTGAGATGAGGCGAGCAAAGCACTTGTTACTACGAGCCAAGAGAGTTGCCATGCCTGGCCCCATAGCCCAAGGTCCAGTGAGGTGGAGCGTGTGCATGGCGGCTATACCCGGGTGGTGGAGTGTGAGTGAGGGAGCCCAGTACTGCTAAAGCTGGCAGCAAAGGTGTTGTAGGGGTGCAGGGTCTGCAGCCCCACCAAGGAGTTGGGGATCATGGTGATGGTGTTGGGCGTCATGAGTGGAATGTCGTCGGGTGAGCGGCGCAACGTGAGCGTGTAGTCGGGCAAGGCAGAGAGGCGGAGGGCGTCGTGGGTCGGCACGGCCTCGCAGTCTCCGTGGTGGGACTGGTTGGTCTGCAGAGAGGGAATCTCTTCTTCTGGGGTGTGCCCGATATCATTGGTGGCGGGGGCATGCTGCGGGCTGGGCTGGCGGTGGGTGTCCTGCCGTCGCTTGTCCTTCCGGTAGTAGAGGGCTGCAAAGGCCAGAACGTTGAGGAAGAGGAGCGAGGCCCCCACGGCAATCGTGACGCTCAGCTCGGTGGAGTAATCTCGGGGGTTCTCCACCAGGAGCGTGCCTGCCCCGTCTTGCTCGGGGTTCCACTTCTCCTGCGAGCCCTCGCTGGTGTAGGCGGTGGAGATGGCCGGCCGTTTGGTGCTCCAGGCCTTCCCATTGGGACGGCGCGCCATGTGGGAATTCTGGGTGGTGTCAGGTGGCGGCACCTTCGTGGTGGTGGAGGTGTAGTGGAACATGTCGTGCAGGTTGTACAGATGTGGAACCAGATGCTTCCAGAAGGCAACCTTTGTGGCACGGTAGTGGTCGCGCACCCGAGGCTTGAGGCCAATGTGCAGGTAGAGCTGATCTCGAGGGTTGTACTTGGACCAGGCCACTTCCTCAAACCGATTGGCCTTGGTGTGGATGAACTTGGTGTCCTGGGGCACTGGTTTGTTAGGGTCCCTGGGGGAGAGAGAAGGGAGAGAGAGAGTGAGAAAGGGAGGGAGAGAAAGCAGGCCACCAGCAACCCCTAGTGCACCACCAATGCGGGGGCTCCCTGGGGGGGGATTGTTCCCGGTGGAGCCGCCTGGCCCCAAAGGACTCCGATCTATATGGACCGACTCTCTGTCTTTCGAGGGCTGCAGAGAGTGGAGCCTTTTCAGAACACAGAATCATCCAGCTTGGCAAAGGCCTAGATTTGTGTTTCAGTAATCAGAAGGATTAAAACCGGACTTTCCCTAAATCTCGCCGGCTGGGAACTCTGGGAGCTGCCGTCCCACTATGATCTGGAGGGGAGTAGGCTAGAGAAAGCAGATTTGGGGCTCCCTCCTTGAGGGGCTCAGGAGAAAGAAGCTACCTTCAGTGCCCTCAAACTACTGGTCCAATGTTAGCCTTCTCCTCCGAGGAGAACAGGACTTTGCTTCATTTTTGTCCTCCCTTCCTCTCCATTTTAGGACTAACTCTGCCACGCAGGCTGGCGCTTTGCTCCCATCTCTTCCCGCACATCTTGACACTGACAGCGGAGGGTCCTTTCAATGCCCAGCCACCCACCTGGCAACAACCCCCACCAAAGCCGCAGTCTGGGGAGGGGCAACCTACCCGGTCTTGGCAAAGTTGGTCCAGTAGGTCATAACCACGGCACTGAGCATGATGTCGTTCTTGGAGAAGTTGCAGGGAAAGAGGTCGGTGGGGCCAATCATGGGGATCCCAAAGACGTAAGGCACCTCATCCCCGTGGGCCGCATCAGACCAGGGTGGCTTCATGAGGCTCTGGCAGTGGTGATAAAAAGCGTAGAAATAGGTGGGGGACCCATAGCGAGCGTGAAGGTCGGCAGTCACCACTGATGGCTCCACCCACTGGTGGTCCGTGAAGAGGGCCACCAGGGTCTTGCGCCGTGTTTCCGGGTTGTCCCGGTCAGCCCAGTCTGTGTACATGAACTTGATGGTCTCGCGCAGGGTGTCCTTACCCTCTGGGTAGCCGTACAGGTTGTCCACAAAATTGGAGACAGAATAATCAAAATCGCTGCCTGAAACACCATCCTCCGGGTCCACGACCCCCTCCACAAACTTCAGTCCCTCACCCTGGTTGACACCGAGCATGATGTCATAGTTGAGAAACTCTCCCTGCTCCATCAAGATCTCTGGGTCGTCTGGGATGACGTCCCCATCGATGACTGGCCCAAAGGCCACGTGGTAGCGTGCTGGCTGGATGTCCTGCTCCACCAGTTCCTTGGCAGTCTTCTGCCTCAGGCAGTCCACCATGTCCACCGTGTCGAGAACATTGCAGCCCACTTTGTCAGCCAGCAAACTGGTGTACTTCACCGGCTGGTAGTTGACTGCCCAACTGGACAGAGCGGAGCCGCTCTGGATGATGGCTCTCTGGAAGAGACCTGTGAAACAAGAGCACGACCGTGGCAGAAACGGGCACCACGAACAGGACCGTTCGGCTTCAAGAAAGCTGCTGCTGCCGAAGGGGCACCACCCACCCTACACGCTGCTCTCTGTCGCAACCAAGCAAGAAAAGGGGCAGCGGGAGGACAAGATGGCCCAACGGAGGAAGCTCATCTCCAGCCAGGCCGGCCCCTTCGTCCAAGGCCAGGCTTCAGGATGCACATCCTGGGCTTGCGGCCTTAGCACAACCCCCTTCCCATCTCTGCTAATCCCTCCCTGGCAGCCACGCCATGTCAGCCTGGCACCGGCCAAGTGATCCTGGTCCTGTTCCACCCAGTCTCTGGGAACAACGGGCAGGGATGGAAGAAGAGGTCTTCCTGCCTCCCCCCCCCCATCCCGCCCGCTCAGGCAGGGCAATCTGAGGCTGGCATCGTGGGGGTTAAGCCGCTGGTACTTAACCCTGCACGCTCCACAGAGAACAGCCCTCATTTCCTGCCCAGCTGGGCCCTGCTCCGTGCCAATGTGGGCTCGGCAAACTGCACATTCCCCGGGGGCACAAAGGAGCCTTTCTGCTGGCTGGAACACAAGAGGCCGAGGATGCTGGGCCTAGGAAGCCGGCCCACAAAGGCCCTGGGGCTGGCAGAGGAATGCCAGGCCGGGCCAGGCGCCAAGGTTCCTTCCGTGGGGCTTGTCCTCGGAATACAAAACGGTCCAGGAAGCGCTGCGTTTGCAGCTGAAGCCAGAGGGAGGGAGGGAGGGAGGGAGGGGCAGAGGGCAGGGGCTCCCCCACCAGCTCCTACCAGGTAACAAATGAGGCGCACCTTTGCCACAGAACTGGGGCAAGGGGAAGACTCGCATTCCTTGCCTCCCCTGTGCTCCCTTAAAGCAACTGTGCAGCTTCCCGGATGCCCCCCTATTCTCCCTTGGAAGACTCTTGCACAAGCTTGTTTTCCCCCCACCCCCCCACCCCCCCACCCCCCGGGAGGAAGCCTGCATCAGGGTCGCCTTCCAACCACTAAGCGTCCGAAAGTGGCTTCCAACCGCCAGGCTGCATCCCAGAGGGAAGGACTGCCAACTGTGCCCCAGGAAGCCGCTCAGTGTCTTTGGGATCAGCCCCCCCAAGGCAGCCTCCCCAGACCTGCTGCCCACCTTCCTCAGCCCTGATATCTTGGCAGTTGGGGCCCCACCCAGAAGCATCAGGGTGGGAGGGACCATTGGCCAGCAGGTCCTCTCCCGCTTCGTAGGGCATCCAACAAAACCCAGCTACGCAACAGCCAAACGGGGCTAGTTCGGGCCCTCCTGCCCCGTGGCAAGGGGAAGCTGCAGCCAGCTAGCCAGGGCCTCCTTCCCCCTTGTCCACCTGCCGCACCAGCCCTGCGTGTGGCTCTTTGAATGTTCTCCTGGTGGCCTCTGGATGAGCTTTCCAGCTGCTGGGTAGCATAAGTGGACGGATCTGCCCTGCACACACAGCAAGAGGCAGAAATAGCTCCTGCCTCTTCTCTCCTCCTGGGGGACAACCACCCCCCCACCCCCCACACACACCGTGGGGGGGGGAGGGAGGCTGAGCAACCCTCCCAGCATCCTCCAGCAAGCAGAGGAGAGCCTTCCCCGGCCAGGGGAGCCCTCGGGCTGCCTTGGCTTGCCTCCCCTCGTAGAGGCCCAGGAGATCCCTTGGGGGTCTCGGCAAATGAAAGATTTGGGGTGCAGAAACCCCAGCGTGGCCCTCCCCCTCCCCGTAAGAGATATGGAGGCTCTCCTCCCACCCTGGGAACCCTTCCGGCATCAGGCCCATCCCTGCTGGCGGCTCTGCGATGTGGTCCCCAGTGTGGGGCTGCCCTAGATCCTTCCTGCTGCAGCGAAGGAACCGGAGCAGAGCATGCAGAGCTAAGCTTTTCCTAGCCTTGTGCACTCCAGAGGTGTGGAAAGGCAGCTGGATATCGGAGAGGGCCACTCAAAGGACCCCCTGTGGCCGGCCAGAGGTTCAGCCACACCTGTGGGGGCACAGTGGACCCCACCTCTTAGACGCTGAGGCTCCCTTGGCCCGAGTACAGGAGAACCTGTGGGAGCTCAGAGGGAGAACGGAGCCCCTGGGCCCTTGCAAGTCGTGGGGCAGCTGCGCTCTTGGCCCCCCTGCCCCAACCCCACGAGGCTTGGCCCCGAGACGGGCATCCTGGCCCCAGCCCACCCCGACTTCTATGGGGCAGGTGCTTCTCTCAACACCCCCAAGGGGTGATAACGTTAACTAGGCCTTTGACATGATGGGAATACGAGCCAAGCTGGGTGCGCTGCTTTCTCAGCCACTGCAGGAACTCCTGGGCAGCAAACTGGACACCTAAAAGCTGCTGGAGGGATAACTGAAATGCCAGGCATCCTTCCCAACCCCAAGGCAGCACCTGTGCTGGGTTACCTGTCCACGAGGAGGGCATGGGCACCATGGGGCAGGGACAGAGACAAAATACTCCTAAAGCTTTCCTGGCAGTGATGCTGGGCTGGAAGCTGCATCATTTTTAGCCTGCAGATTCCCTCTTGATGGACTCTAGAGCTGGCAGGGACCCCCAAGACACCTCCAGCTTCCCAGAGAAGGTCCAGGGAGGCTTGGTCCACCCCGTCTACACAGAGGTCCCTACTCTTCCTGAGATCAGCCAGCCCAGCCAGGATTCAGGTGCTGAAGGAGCAAAGCGGGCCTGGCAGGTGTTCTAATTCGTGCACGTTGGGGGCTCGGTTCCTTCCCGGCCCTTTTTCTGAAGGAGAAACTTGCAGGCTTCCTCTGGCCAAGCTCTCCTGGACCGTGTCTGGCCACAGGCCGCAGCCTCTGGGGGATGCCCACCTCCGTCCTTGGAGAAACCCTTGAAGCCCACTTGGCAAAGGGAACATCCCGAGGTTTGTTTCCCTTTTAAGACGTCTTGCCTGTGCAACTGTCATCATCCCCACAAAGGACCCACTTCAATGTCTAAGCATTGGGGCTGCCTGTTGTAAGTTCCACTTGTTAGCCTATTTTGAAATGGAGTTATTGCCACCTCCCTCCTTACAATCCTGAATGCAGAGATACAAGGGCATCCCCCATTGTTGCAGGAACAACCCGTCTATGGTAAAAACATGGGGGAGGAGGGGCAGGGAGAGGGGCAACTCCTCAGGGTCCTCCCCTTGGCCTCCCTTACCTTCGGAGTGGTGCGACAGGGTGAGCAGGCTGACGCAGGAAGCCCCGATGCCCGACCCAAAGACGGTGATGCGCAAAGGGTCTCCGCCAAAGAAGGCGATGTTCTCGCTGATCCAGCGCAGCGCCTGGATCTGGTCCAAGAGCCCATAGTTGCCTTTGGCCGCCTGGTCGCCGGTGCTCAGGAACCCTGCGGGTAAGCAGAGGAGAGCCAGTTGCTCCCCAGCCAGCTCCTCCAGCCCCTCCCCCCTGCAAAGGGCCCTTCCCTGCGGGGGAGTTCCAGGGGATGCCCCCCCCCGCCCTTCCCACAGCCTCCTCGGCTCTGACGGCATCTGCCCTGAGATCCCCTTGGGGCGATGGGCTGGGAGCCACTCCTTGGGGGTCACGCCGTCTACTCTGAGCTTTGCAATCTTCCTGTCCTCGGTTGGCGGTTTCTCTTGGACTGGATCTAGAGAAGCGGGCTTTGAATTGCTCTCGGGCCAGGGAAAACCGTGGCAGTTTCAAGGCTCTGAAATGTTTGGGGCTTCGTGATTTCTGCAAGCCCAGGAAAGGGACCAATGCGGAAATGGGCTGAAGCGTGTTACACAAACCGAGGGTGACCCCGGCTGAGTTCAGCTCAGCGGAGGTGCTGCAGCCACAACCCAGGCACCCTCAAATGCCAAGGCAGCGCCTGGAGTTAGGGTGGCCAAAGGCCCCAGAAGCCACGGCAGGGGCTGCTCCAAGGAAACCCTCCAGCAACCTGGCAGCCCCCCAGCAGGACCATGGGGTACTCCCTCTGGGGGGGCACATTAGTGGTGCTTGCTGGGGGGTGCAGAGAGGAGGTGGGTAAACAGGGTTGCCACCATATTTAACCACCGATCAATGCTTGCTCTCTGCGGGGCCCCAGTGGGCAAACACAGGGGAACTCCGAGCTGGGCGCCCAGGGCGGCTTTCACCTTTGCCCTGAGGAGGGTCGAGGGCTTGTCCTGGGGGCTGGAGGGGGAACTGGGGCAAAAGCAGGGGGGCCAAAGCTGGGGACCTTGCTACCTGCAGGGCCCTGCCCTTATTCCCCCCAGCGCCGCCCCCCTCCCCAAAGCTGCTAAGGGATGTGCTGGCTCTCCACGGCCTCTCCCCACCCCGGGATGGAGCGCTGGCTGCCCCGTCGTGAGACTCTCCATACCCAGGACGCCCACACGGTAGTTGAGAGTGATGACAATGACGTTGCCGTAGCTGGCCAGCACGCTGCCGTCAATCATGTTCCCTGTGCCTTCCATGTAGGAGCCCCCATGGATGTAGACCATCACCGGCTTGGCCCCGCTGTCTCGGATGTCTGCAAGGGGGAGAAGCTGGAGACAAGAGTCTGGCACGGCCTGCTGGGCACCCACCCTTGGCTTCGTCCCAGGGAAAAGAGGCACAGCAGCAGGGACCTCAAGCTCTGCCCACAGGTTTCCGGCCTGGCAGACAATGTGAGAAGGCCCCATGAGCTCTGGAGGGCCCCACTGTCCAGTGGCCAGCTGAGAGACCCAGGGCTGGGGACTGAGCCCAAGAGAGATGCAATCACCAGGGGGAGGAAGGGTTGGGACGCAGCGCCTCTCCTTTCGGTGGGCAAATATTCTGGGAGGGGTCAGCCCGGCCCCTTCTTTCTTCTGGGAAGCCAACAGATCCTGCAAGATTCCTGCTCCCTCTGCCCCCCTCCTTCTCTCTTGCTCACTTCAGTCAAATCCCTGAGCCGGGATGGCAGCCTGTGCCCCCACAGCAGCTGGCCCCGCCTGTCCTGTCCATGCCCTCAAGGCAGCAGCAGGAGCAGCTCCCAGGGACCCACACGTGTAGAGCTTGCGCTCCTGGGCACTACTGTCCCGGGGCAGAGGTGGTCAGCTGGCACTGCCCTCTCAAGGGTGCCCCGTGGGGGCTCTTTATGCTGGCAACCCAAAAGCAAGCAGTCTAAGTACAAACATTATAAGCAGAAAATCAACAAGAAGCAGCTCACGGCAACGGCTGGGCATTTCCTGTCAAGACGCAGCCCAGACAGGGACCTCACCTGCCCTCCGAGGGGACTGGGGGCAGCAAACCCCACCAAGGGCACTTCCACCCAGCACAGACAAAGCACTGACCACAGGAATCGCCACTCCCATGCCCAATCAGCCCCCGAGTGCCTGACACAAGCAGGGATGTCCACCGAGACTCCCAGAGGCACAACCGGAAGAACGTCCTGGCCCCTCAGTCCTGGCTCTGCCGTGGGCATCCGCTCCCTCAGCTGTGCTGGCATCCAAGTTCCCATTTGGGGGAAGGGCAGCGGATACCCTGGCGGGGTCTTTGGGAGCTCTTGTGCTTCTCTGCCAAGCAGGTTGCACAGGTTGGCTGGGATTTTCCTGGGTGTCACCTTTTCCTTCAAGCAAAATTGACGGGCGCCTGGCACGGAGGATGCTTTCCTCTGGATTCAACGGCAGCCTCTCCAGGGAGGGAAGGAAGCGAGCTCCCTGCACCCAAGAACACTGCTGCCCATGGCATGGACAGAGGTTGGCAGAGGGGCAAGCTGCAGATCCTGTTCTGCTGCAGAAGGGCACTGCTCCCCTCCGCCCAGTGCCAAGGGTGCCCTCCCTGGCCCCCAAGTGCCTTTTGCAGGGGCTCCTCTGACCAGGAAGCAGCCCCCTTCTCCGAGTGCCTGGCTGGGGAAAAGAGCCCCTGAGCAGTCGGGGGGGGGGGGGGGGCTCTGGAGCCACGGGGGGGGGGGGGGGGGGGTGGGGGGGGGGGGGGAATGGCAAGCACCATTCCCCCCCCGACCCCCTTCCTGCAAGCCCGCCGCGACCTTCTGTGTGGGGAAAGGCCAGAAACCCGGAGCGGCTGAGCTGAGAGGGACCCTGCAGGCCTCGACCTTCCCAACCAGCAAGCAACCCAGGGTGGGAGGGGCAGCAGGGCCCCCTCCCTATGCGGTGACCGCTCAGCACCAGAGAGCCAGAGACACAAACAAGGGGGGGGAGAGGGGCTTCTTGGAATGGCAGCAGCAAGGAGGACGTGCATGAGAGAGAGAGGGGGGGGGGGGGGGGGGGAGAGGGTTCATGCATGGACAGCCATCTGGCGCACGCAAATACCTTCGTCTTCATCCCCGTCATTATCCGCTAAGTCCTCGCCCTGTTTCTTAGCGCTGGAGCCTGGGGACCAAACACGAGGAGACCGAACAAAAAGGAAGAAGGGGCAAAAAAGAGAAACCAAAACAGGAAGGAAGAAAACAAGAGAATTCAAACATAGCATGGCTGCAGAGAAGGTGGGAAGGTCACCTGACTCGGCCCCTCGGATCTCCAGCAGCAGCACTGGGGCGGGGCAGAGGCGCTCAGGGCCCCTTCCCCAGGGTCAGAGAGAAGGCCAGGCGGAGCTCAGGGGGAGGCCAGCTGCAGGTCACGCCTGGAGGAGGAAGGAGGGGGAGCCCACCGGACCTGTCCCTGCGGAGTCAGCCTGGAGGGCCCCTGAGGTTCGGGGGGGGGGGGGGTCCCCCAGGGGGGGAAGCCCCCTTGGGGGGGGGGGGGGGGGGGGGGGGGGGGGTTAGTTGCTGTGGGCGTCACAGTCTAGCAGCCGAAGGGTGGAAACTCAGCGCTGCCGTGGGGCGAATATTCACGGCCTCGGCTTGACCGCTCACTCGCACTCCAGGGCTGCACAAGAAGACCCCCGACCACCCCGTCCATTTGCTTGCACCAGCCTGTGGCACAGGCAGGACCTGGGCGGTGGTCCTTCCACCGAAGGGCTTGTGGTGACCCCCAGAACTACCCTCCTCGGCCCTTGAGTAGAAACTGGCCTTTGCCACAGGCGCCTCCGGGCGCAGGTAGGGGCTCTTTCTGCTGCCCTCCAGGGGTCCCTTCCCTGCTGCTCCCCTGAGAAAAGGGGGCTGGAGAAGGCCTGGCCAGGCCTCTTTGCAGGACGCTCTGGGGGCTCCAGGAAGCCACCCTCCAGCGTCTGCAGCCCCCCAGGGGGAGGCACGCTCTCGGGGTGCCTGGGGGGGCCCTGGCCACTCTTCGCGGCTCTCAGTTCAGAGGGCCGAAAAGGCCCCGCCCATCTTAGGGAAGAGTCAGCAGGTGCCTAGCTGCCTGTCCAGCTTCCAAGAGGCCCAAGGGCTGCACCCAAGGGGGGAGCGTTGGCCAAGGGAGGCCTGCATGCACCTCCACCTCCCCCCCCCCCCCCCCCCCCCCTGGGTCCCGCGCGGGCCGGACAAAGCCCACCTGTCCCCGGCCGCCGCCGCCGCTGCTGCTGCTGCTCGGATGCCAGGCCCGCTCGGTCACCATGGAAACCGAGGCAGAAAGAGGCTGCGCTGGTCCTCCTGCTCGCGGCTCCACGGGGCACATCAGCCCGGCCCGGTTCCTGCAGGTGCCCGGTGCAAATGGGGGGGGGGGGCAGGGAGGAGCCCCTCTTTGGCCAGGCCATCCCATGGCTTTGGGGCATCCGGAGATGAACCCCCTGCCCAGCTCGAAGCTGTTGGGGTTAGAGAAGGCTGCGTTGGAGGGGTCAGCCCAGGGTGGGGTGGGGGGTGGGGGGTGGGCAAAGCCTGGCCGAGTGTTCACAGGCACCGTGCAATGGAGCAGCCTTCCATGCGCAACATGGCCAACAGAGCCAAGCCAGCCCTGGCCCAGGCCCGGGGCCCTTTGAGCCCGGGCAGCCGGGGGGGGGGGGGGGGGGGGGGGGGGGGTGGGGAAGAGGTATGTCTACTTTCTACCCCGGGGGGAGGGGGGAAATGAGGAAGGGGTGTTTTCATTGCTCTGGTGTGAACCTGCCACACCCCATCAAAGCCGAATGAAAGGGATGGCGCAAAAGAGGGGCACCCAGGGATCAGCCGGCACGGAGACGGTTCTAGGCCGAGAAGATGCAAAGACTTGGTTGGCAGATCAACCAGAGTAAGAGCAGAAGAAGAATCTGAAGGCCCCTTGGAGACCCAGCTGGAGGAGCTGAGTTGGGCCCAGCTGAGCGGGGGCAGAGGCTCAAACCAAGCCCCACCTGCCCCAGAAGGACACAACCCCTCCAAGGCTCCGGAAGTTTCTCAGAAGCTGGTTTGTGGTGACGCCTCACTGTGAAATAGCCATTCCTAGCTTGGCCTCCCTCCCAGAGGAAGTTCTCCCACTGAATGGCTGGGCCTGCTCTGGCAGAAGGGGCACAGGGGCGAGCCAAAAGAGAGAGGTTATTTTGGGATGCATGGGGGTCCCCCCCCCCCAAAAAGACATGCAATACTCTCCTTCTCGAGGACGGAGCCCTTCCCCCCACCCTGTTTTTGTGGCCTCAGGCTGAATGGGCCCCGGAGTCCTTAAGGGAGAGAAGCCAGGCTCCTCCTTGGAACGGTTCAGTGGCAACTTTCTCCAGACCCTCTTTCTCCACATCAGCGTCAAGTCAAAGGGCAAGTCAAAGAGGAAACATTCACACAAAATGCTAAGCCATCCCTGGTCAGAGACGCCCGATCCCCTGAGCCAGAATCCTCCTGGTAGCGTTCTGCCCAAGTGCTCGGCCGCCTGCCTGCCTGCTAAGCCACATCTTGCTTAATCAGGGTTTGTTGCTGAACGGGCCACGTGGGCTGGGTTCGTAGGATGCCCGAAGCCATCATTTAACCAACCAGTCTTGGCCAGTTATGCTCCAGAGGGGTTTGAGGCCCAGAGGCAGCCCCCTTGGGGTGGGAAAGACCTGCTTCCAAGCTGCCCCACCTGCCTGGACCCTCCCACCCTCTATGTGTGCGTGTGTGTGTGTGTGTGTGTGCAGGTGTGCGCATAGACACACCAACTCTGGTCCTCCCTCCACTGCTTGGCGTGACTCCCTCCTCCCTTCCCTGAAGCCCCTTCTGAATTGCTGCTGGCATTTGGCCGGGAATGACAGCAGCTGAAACCCAACATGGGGAGGGGGGAGGAAGGCTCCTCCACCTGGGGGACTTGCCCCCTGGAGCCCAATCGCTTCAAAGGAGCCTCCTCCTCCTCCCCCCCCCCCCCCCTGGAAGGCCTCCCTCGGCATCAACCCTCAGGGACCGGTTCCCCCTTCCTTGAGAAGAGCGGTCCAGGCCCTGAGCCCCTCACAGAGGGCAGGGGGAGAGCAGCAGGAGAAGAGCCCGGAGCGGCTTTGGCCATGCCCACCACAGGCCTGGTTGGTGGACATTTCCAAGAGCTCCAAAGGAAGTTGGCACCTTCGTGCCCAGGCCTTGGGGAAGGGATAACCGAGGAGATTTAAGGATGCCCGTGCTGAAGCTGCTGCTCCATCGTGGGGGGATCCGAGGAAGGGGGCGCAGAGGGTCTCTGCCTGCCCCTCTCCACTCCTGCCTAGGGGGGGCCAAGGCTGGCAGAGGGGGCAGAGCTCTGGAAGGGCAACTGGGGCCAAACAGACCCAGAGGGAATCCTGGGGCCAGCCTGCCCTGGAGGCTCAAGAGAGGAACCAGCTGTGGAGCTGCACTTCTGCCTCAGTCCCCGGCAGAGGGAGAAGGCGGGGGGGGCAGCGCATGGGTGTGGCGCCAGGCATCTGCTTAGGGGCCCAGGGGCCACTGGGCAGGGAAAGGACACCCCTGGCATGCGGGTTCCTATGGCGGGGCAAGCCATTCCCCTCTTGCAGAGTCTGGGCTGGCCCGAGAAGTAGGGCATCTTCAGCCTTCTGCCCGCTGGCACGGCCTTCCCGGAACTGCTGAGAAGGAAGTGGGCAGAGTCGCCTTCCAGTCGACCGGATGCAAGGCCAGCTCCAGCCCAGTGTGGGGTAGGGGAGAAGGGAGCTCCTGCCTCTGACCCCTAAGTGATAGGCAGCCGATGCCAGCCGGGGCAGCTGTGCCCAGGTGGGAATGCCACCCCCCCACCCCGAAAAGAGAGGGTGCTCTCCCAGAGCCCTTCCGAGTCCATAAGCCCCCCCACCATCCTGCTGTGGCATGGGGCAGGGCAGGCGCCCCCTGGCGCTCACTCTCTCACTTGCCTCTCTCTGTGCCCTCTGCCAAGCCCCGGCTCGCTACCTACCTCCTTTCCTACATATTTTCTTGTTGGGTTTTCGGGCGCATTCCTTGGAAATCCGCTTTACTGTAAAATGAATAAAAGACTACAAAATAACAGGAGGCCCCAGCGGAGGGTGTGGGCATGCAACCCGTCCTTCTTCCCCCCACCCAGCCCCCACCCGCCTTGGGGCTGACCACAGGGAGGGCAGACGGGAGCAGAGCAGCAGCTGCTCCGGGGGCGGGTGGGGGGCCCCGCTGGAGGCCAGGAAGGGTGCAGGAGAGGAGGGCGTGTCAAGCGTGAAGCTCCCTCCTCCCTGCCTAGGGCGGGGGCGGGGGGGGGCCCAGCTGCCCCAGTGCTGCTGCTGCCGCCAGGTGAAGAGGCTCCCCTGGGCAGGGCCAGAGCCCCTTGCGGTGAGGCCGAGGGGGCTCGGGAGGGGGCTACTTACAGTTCCAACGGGACAGCCCTGGAAAGGAAGGGTTAAGGTGCTCGGCCTCACCACAAAGAGCCCCCCCTCCTGCTCTGGCTGCCCCCTGTGAGTGCAGACCCTCCTCCTCCTGGACCGAAGGGGAGTGGTACCTGTGAGGCTGAGCTCAAGGACTGGGAGAGGTTTGGAAGAGAGAGAGAGAGAGAGAGACCCCCCCCGAGCAGTCCAGCCACAGACCCACGAGAAATGGGGGCGGGGGGGGGGGGGGGACGGGGGGGGGGGGGGGGAGGGGGGGGGGGGGGGGGGGAGGGAGGGAGAGAAGGGTGGGAGGAAATTGAGGGCACCTAAGTCTCCCTGCTGTCCCCAACCAGCTGGGACATCCTGCAGCTGACCAGAGGCTTCTCCTGTCTTGCCAACCCAGTTTGGGATGAGGATGATGGTGGCTGTGGGGGGGGGGGGGGGCGAGCAGAGGAGGCAGGGCCCATGGGGAGGAAGAGCAAGAAGGAGCGCATGGCAGCCAGGAGGAGGGACAAGCATCATGGCCAGAAACGGAGGCGCACAGACAGACAGACAGACAGACAGCCATGCGTCGGGAGGAGAGCAAGGTATGGCAGCATGCTCAAACCGCAGAGAGAGAGAGAGAGAGAGACACGCGTGCACACACATACACGACACACGACACACATGACACATACGTGTCCTGCAGGCACCCCGCTGGGGACTCACCATCCTCGGTGGGGATGTAGATGTTGAGGTACAGACAGTCTTCGTTGGGGTCCTGGATGTAGGTGGCCACAATGTCGAGGTTGGCGGTGAACCAGATAGGGAGCATAATCTCCGGCACAGCGGTGTGGATGTTCTGTGGGCACACTGGGGGGAAGTGAGTGGCATTCCGGATCCCCGACCAGGATGGGGGAGGCTCGGGGGGCAGGAACCGCTTGTCCCCGACGGGAGGTGCGGCGTAGGGCACCCCCAGGTACTGGTCCACGGGCCCCAGGATCTCGCTGGGCAGGGGCACCCGTACCCCACGGAGCTTCCCGTAGTGAGTGTTGACGGTGGGCGAGTAGGCCTGGCTCTCCATCCGCACCACGGCCGAGGCGAGGCCCAGGATCCAGAGGGCCAGGTGTGTGCCCCACCCGGCTGCCCCCTTGGTCACTTGCGAGAAGGGCGGGAGGAGTGGGCACCGGTACAAGGACCGCCACATGGTCTGGGGAGAGCAGCGCTGGACAGCAGGCCTCAAGCAGACTCGGGGGGGGGGGGGGCCCAGGGGCCCCCCCGGGGGGGGGGGGGGGGCCCCGGGGGGGGCGGGGGGGGGCGGGGGGGGGGGGGGGGGGCAAAGTTCAGCCACACCTGACACCCCCCCCCCCTTATAGAAAGAGATGCAAGGTTAAAAACAACCACCACCACCACCCTGAGTTGGGCACCAGGCCAGAAGTCTGATTCTTGGGGGAGGAGATTCAAAGCCCCCAGGACAGGTTCTCCTTTCCACCCCATCTGGAGGGAATGAGGGCTTGGCCCCCATTCGAAACTTCCCCAGCAGGAGGCTGAGGGGTGGCTCCACCACGCTCTGAGCCGATGGCTTGATAAGACCAACACCTCCCAACTGGGGGACGCCGGGGCCAAATCTTCTGGTGCTGGTGGGCCTTTTGGCAAGAGGGCTCCCTTCCCCGCCTGAGAGCCTCTCAGGGCCTTGGCTACTGCCTCTCCCTCTCCTGGGGGACCTCCGTCTGTGTGCCAGGCAGCTCTTGATACAATGTCCTACCTGTCCGTGAATACTTCAGCTTCAACCACAACAACACAAGAGCACACAATAGATACAAACTCCATAGGCACCAAACTTGATTGCAAGAAATGCGACTTCAGCCACAGAGTGGTCAATGTCTGGAATACTCTACCCGACTCTGTGGTTTCTTCCCCAAACCCGAAAACCTTAACCTCAGACTGTCTACTATTGACCTCACGCCCTTCCTAAGAGGCCTGTAGGGGGCGGGCATAAGCGCACCAATCGTGCCTACCGTCCCTGTCCTATTGTTTCTTTTATATTTTTCTTATATGTATCCATGTATTCATAACTATGTTTATCCTTATGCCTATTATCTTGTAAGCGATTGACGAATCAAATCAAATCAAATCAAATCAAACCGAAGGACAGATTCCTGGGTTGTGCTTTTCATTCCCTTCCGGAGCACAATAGCAACCCCCCTCCCCCCCCAAACTCCTGAGAAGGCAGACGCAGCTCCTGGTTGCAAAAAGTGCTTGCAAAATTATCCAAATTACATAATACCCTTAAAGGGATGAAAGCTGTTCTTTCCCAGGAATGACATCCAGCTGTCTGAATTCTAGAGAGCTGTTTTTTTGGCCACGGGCATCTGGGGTCCATTTGTGGCAGAAAAAGAGAAGAGCAGAGAAGAAACCTTGGGAGGAGCTCAAATAAATTGCTAGCTGCATTCTTGTCCTCCTGGCGGGAAAGCCCAGAAGAGGAGGGGGTGGAGCGAAGAGTCCCACAACAGGGAGAAGAGGGCAGGCAGGGCTCTGCAGGGGTGGGGAAGCCCACCCTCCTTGGGGATGTGGGTCCCCTTCTGCATAGCGGAGGACAGAGGAGTCAGCATTCAGGTTCCAAGGCCCCTCCGGTCAAAAGATATTCCTCTGGATGTGAAGAGGAGGCAAGACTGGAGCTGCCCCAGGGTCAGTCCTCATCTCTAGCCGGACTATGGAACAGGACAGCTGGGAATCAAGGCCCCCTCTGAGGCTCAGTGAGGCGGACTTGAACGTAAGATCCGGGCAAGAGCTCACCCACCCAGCAGCCTCAAGCAAGCAGAAGAGCTGGAAAGGCCTCCGAAAGGATTGCCCTCCCCCCCACCATACCCCATAAGTGACCAGTTGAGAATGGGTGGATTTGGGGGGCTGGAAGGAATGAACCTGCCGGGAGTTTGGGAGGGGAGCCCATTGCCAACACCAGCTTTGAGCATCCTAAGGGCAAGTGGGGTGCCCAGGCTGTGGCTGGGCAGACCACATAAAGGGAAAGGAGGCAGAGAAGTGCCAGGCGTCATTTCCAGAGGCAGACTGAGAATTATTTGTATCCGATATTTAAGCTGAACTTTAAAAATGAGAGAGCGTAAGAAGCTTTGACCCTGGTCAAGATAGGGTCAGAATAGAAGATCCATCCAAAGAGCATATCCAGGACGCTGAACTTGGGTGAAATGGAGTTTCAGGGACTCCGGGAAGAGGCCAGAGATTCTGCAGAAACCAAAGCAGAAAAGCCGCTACCCCAAATCCAAGGAGTTATTATCATGAAAGTCAGAGACGGACGGAGGATGAGAGGCTTGGAGAGGGAAGCAGCGTCTACGGCCCCGGAATGCAGATTTGCAGCATCAAACGAGGAAGGACAATGAAAGGTATCAAAAGGTGGGGAAATGTCTAGAACTGAGGAAAATAAACAAGAGACGATGTTTTTACGGAGATCAGAAAAACCACGGGAAGATGTAGAGCTACTCATGGATAATCATCCAAAGCTCTAACAAAAGCAAATGAGGTTGAGAGAAGATGGGAAGATTACGCTGGAATCTCTGCAAACAGGATCACAAAAGGACAGAAACGTTTGTGGAGGTGCAATTTATTCAGGCATTGGCTCCACTGAAAATGGGGGGGCACCCCCTAGTTACCAGGAGGAAATCAGGAGAAGCGCCCCCCAAGCAGCAGGGAAGCAGCCATTGAACTGCTCCCTGCCAGCAAATATGGGGCAGGGCTGCAGGGACAGGAAGTCCGAGGGGCAGCCATCGTAAGATGGATGACAAAGGGAGGCTCGGAGTGGGGCTCCTCCTTGCTTTGTTGACCACAGCAAGTTCTTTGACCGTGGAGATCCATTAAAGTGAATGGCTGGGCCATCTGGTTATCCTTGGGGGGAAACCTTTGCAATGGAGAAGCTACTGAAAGAATTGGATGTGAAGGAATCAAGTGCCTTAAAGACGGGGAGGGAGGGGTCGCTCCTCCAGGGTCTTTGATCCTAAATCCACCCCAGTGGATCTTTTGAAATCGCACCCTTATGCCTTCCCGAGAAGCTCTCAAAACACAGAGTTGGACAAGTGCACAGCGGAGACATGGCTCCAGGGAGGAGCCCCTACGAGGGAGTCAGCACTTCCCTGGGTGTCTGAACACGGTGATGATAGTAACACCCACAAAAATAGCCAGGTCTTTATCAGCACGTCACCCGCCGTGTTTCCAAGTCAGCCCGGGCACCGCTGGGCAGGCAGACCCACAGTCTGCGTTGGGCCAGCCTGGTTTAGCTGCTTCCCTGGACCGCGCCTGGCTTCCTACCCAAGCGAGGAAAAGCCTCGTGGAACCTGCTGCCCTCCAAGGGGAGTTCCAGGCCACCTGGAGAAAATCGCGCCTCAACCGGCACGGAATAAAACGATGCACTTTTGCTCGGGCCTTCCCTGAAGGAGGAGAAGCAAGCGTGGGTGTCTCTCTCTCTCTTTCTCTCTCACCCAAAAGGGTGTGGAAAGATCTGTTTCCGGGGCAGAGCAAAGCCTTTGTGCCCAGCCCTCCCGCTGGAATGCCAGGAAAGCTGCTTCGCTGGGCATCCTTGGAGGTTTGCCCCACTCACTGACAAAGCCTGTTTCTGCCGCTGGGCCCGGGCAGAATGGTGCAGACGTGAGCATCACTGGGCACCAAGGCAGACCAACGGGGCCTTTGTAGCCCTCCAGAGCAAGGAGATGGGAAGAAGACGGAGCTGGAGGAGGCCGGAAGGGACCGGGGCGGAGAGGCCGGAAGGAGGGCTCTCGGGGGATTTACTCCTGACGTTACGACAAGAAAGCGCCTTTGAGAAAGAAGTCGCCTTCTGGCTGGGCTTCAGAGCTCCAGCTCCCCACAGCTGCCCGTCTCTTCCTTTGCCTTGCCTGGCCCTCCCTGGGGGAGGCCTGCCAATCCCCGCCTGGGTGCAGCTGAGACTGCCCCAGGCTCCTCCGTGACTCCAAGGGCAGAGCACCCAAGGGCCAGGTCCCCGGAGGCGCAGGGGTGGGCCAGGCAGCCTTGTCCGGGCCTGGAATGTGGAGGCCTCTCCCCTCCCGAAGGATCGGAAACCTGCCTGCTCAGCTTCCATCCCTCCAGGTCAAAATACCCAGGTAACCTTTCATCCTGGTGAATTTCTGCCTAAGCACAGCCCCAGCCCCACCACCTAGATGGCTGCGCAAGAAGCCTCGGGTTGTGCCAGGGGCCCCTCTGGGATTTGGCTCCAAGGCCCCCGAGGACAAACCACCCGCGGGATGTTGAAGGCAGCTTTCCTTAAGTTGATGCTTCCTGGGTGAGCTGGACTACAACTCCCCTCATCCTCAGCCAGCTGTTCTTCATGCAAGAGGCTCAACCTCTGCCCAAATCTCCACTGCTCCACAGTACCTGGACAGGTGGACTGGAAGGACGGCGAAGGCGAGACTTTTCTCCAAGAGAGAAGCGAGCGTGTCCAAGGGAGAGAAGAGGGGCAGCCGCCGCAAATGGAGAGTCCCTCCAGGGCTGAAAGGTTCGCCCGCAGCCCCTCTGCATCCCCAGGCCACACTGGGCTTCAAGGAGGCAAGATGGCTGCGGGGGATCCCAGGGGCAAAGGCACCTGGGAGGAGGCGAAGCAAAGGGCTCCAGTTGACCACATTTTCCCAGGCTGCCCTCTAAGGAGGAGCTCCAGAGGGCAAATTGCTCGCCCGGGGAAAACAATGGAGCCCTTCAAGGCCTGTGTGGGGCTTTCTGAGGTGAAGAAGAGGGAGGGAGGGAGGGAGGGAGGGAGGGAGGAAGGAAGGAAGGAAGGAAGGAAGGAAGGAAGGAAGGAAGGAAGGAAGGAAGGGAGACAGAGCCTCTCTCTCTGGAATGCCCCCACCCCGAGAAAATGACTTGCCTGGCCAGCTTACATTCTCCCCCCATTCAATTCTTCCTCTAGGACCTCCCCTTTCGCAACACAGATTCACACAGCCGGCAAACACAGACAAACCACTGGAGTTAATGCAAACACCTGGGTTCAACCCATGAAGCTGGGACCGAATTGTCTGGCCAGGGCTTGCAGGCCAGACGGGGGGGGGGGGGGCTTCCTCTTCACAGCTGCTGGCCCAGTGGGGAGCCAGGTGACCCCCTCCCCCGTCAGCAGTCCCTGCCGGTTTCCCGGGTCGGAGCCTGGAAAGGTCCAGAAGACCAGAGAAGGCCTGGAGGAGCAGCAACCTATCCAGTGCAGTCTTCTCCACAGTAGTGCTGGCTGTGCATGAT